GGTGATGATCGGTGCTGTAGTTTCCGAAATTCGAGTTTCGAACGTATATATCGCAAGCTCCATTATAATCAAATTCCTCTATTCTGCTCTTACTTTACAGGTAACGGAATAAAATTTCTTGAACATTTAGGCTCGGCATGGCCAGGTGGTTATGACGCTTGACTCGCAATCTGAGGATCGCGGGTTCGAATCCCCGTTCCACCAAACATGTTCGCCCTTTCAGCCGTGGGGGCATTATAATTTGACGGTCAATCCCACTATTCTTTGGCAAAAAAATAGCCCAAGAGTTGGCGGCGGGTGGTGATAACTAGCCGCCTTCCCTCTAGTCTTCCACTGCTAAATTAGGGACGGCTACGCAGATAGCCCTCGTGTAGCTTTGCGCGAACTTCAAAACAAACAAACAAACAAACAATCTGTAATTAGCCCTCTGTACAACATTCTGTAAAAGGGAGTCTTGAAATTTCTTTATTGAAACGAAAAAATCGCATAGTAAAAAGTTTATAACAGCAAAAAGCTTCGAAAGCTTATTCCAAGCCAATTAGGAACAACATCCCCATCCGGAAAATACAGGTTATGGGCAAGAAAAAGATGAAAAACATCATTGTTATGAAGCTGCTTATGTCTCCTGGCAACTCTAACATTATAGTATACAAGGATGTAAAGTTGATGAAGCTCACAAACCAAATGTTCACAAGCTACCATCCACATCGCCAAATACACAGTTGTGTCCTCCGAATCAGTCCCAATGGCCTTTGGTATGTTTAAAAGCATGACCTTGGAATCCCAAAACAACTAGCCAAACTACACAGAAGGATTAAGTGCTGACGAAACAACAACAAAACACCGTAGGTTTAAAGTTGAGAAGCAGATATGGTGAACCTTATAATAGTTTCCAAAACGAGTAAATGACCTTCAGAAACTGAAAATTTGTATGCACTCTCGCATGGACCTAATGAGCATCCATATCAAATTTGGTGAAGATCCATCTACAGGAGGCGAGGTAATGATAAAAAAACACCCATAAAAACGAATTTCTTTTTCCAGATAGTAGTGACCTTTATTAGTAGTAGGAGATGTAAGATGGGACAGAGGTGAGTTTAAAGGCTTACGACTCTAAAATCCGGGGTTCGATCCTCCTCCAATATGGGTTTGCTCTAAAACAACGAAACAAGCAAACATTTTGTTTTTGTATCAGACATTATATTTGTGAATAAGCGATGCTCATTTCGGGTGTTCTGTTCTTTGTTGACAGATTATTTGTACTCTAAACATTAGTGTAGATTCTTTGTACTCTAAAGATTACTGTAAATTATTTGCATTCTAAACATTAGTGTAGATTCTTTGCACTCTAAACATTACTGTAGATTATTTGTTTTCTAAACATTACTGTAGATTATTTGTTTTCTAAACATTACTGTAGATTATTTGTTTTCTAAACATTACTGTAGATTATTTGTTTTCTAAACATTACTGTAGATTATTTGTTTTCTAAACATTACTGTAGATTATTTGTTTTCTAAACATTACTGTAGATTCTTTGTACTCTAAACATTAGTGTAGATTATTTGTTCTTTAAACTTTACTGTAGATTCTTTGCACTCTAAATATTAGTGTAGATTCTTTGCACTCTAAACATTACTTTAGA